CTTGTTCTTTAGAATCTTTAGATGGTTGAATGATTCATGTTATAAGAACAAGTGACGTCTACCATCTTTTCGCCTGCTCCACTCTCTTATTTTCACTTTTGTCTCTATTGTTATTGCTTGGTGCTTCTTGGCAGTACCTGCTATATCACTGCTGCTTTTATGCTTGCTTCCAGAAATCCTGGACTTGAAATAAAGATACTGTACTACTGGACTTTACACAGTGCTGTACAGTAAAGTACACAAAAGCACAACCACTTGTAGAGGATGCACACATGTAACAAATATACGCCAGACACATGTATTAACTTACATGATAGGACGTTCACATCTTTGAAAGTTTGCAACTTGAAGATTTGTATGCAGAGACTTACTATACAGGCATGAGGTGCCATGTGTGGCAAGAACGGGAAAGTTTTGACCAGGATTTCTGAAAGATTGCCCAGCTGCTGGGTGGCACAAGGATTGGAGGTGAGCAAGAGGGAACCCCACCTGGTAAAGCACTATGGCCCTGAAGAAAAGGGCAGAATGGAGAATTATTTAGAACAGAGACTTAACAGGACATGGTGGCACATGGAAGTCGACTCTGACTCTGAGTGTTCCCCTTTCGGCTGGCTCCTGGGGTGGTGGGGCCATTTATGGGCACAAGGCAGGGTGGGAATGGGGGTAAGATGAGGCTGAGGGTCTGTGGGACATCCCAGCAGAGATGCTGCCCAGCCGTTTGGCTGTTTGAGTCAGGAGGGCAGAACTAGGGGCAGAGTCAGGGACCATTAAGTCAATGGGTAGGGGGAACCCAGCAGGAAGAGTGGTCATGAACAGAGGAGTTAACCCTGGGCAAGAGACATTTAAGGGACCAGGAAGAGGAGAGACCAAGGATGGATGAGGCACAGAGAGGAAGAAACTTGAGAGTACACTGGAGGCCAGGGTGGAAGAATTTCCAAAAAGAGAATGAGGACTTTGGGAAGGGACGGGGGTGGAAGAGGAAGGCAAGGCCATGATCAAGAGGTGTGACTGTGGAAGAGATGGTTTTTAATCCAGGTCAGAGTGGGCTACAGAGAGGGTGGAGGCAGGCCTGCGCTAGAGGAACATGAATGAGGGAGACTCAAACTTTTGCTTCTCAAGGCTGCTCAGAAATAGCTACCAGGAGTAGTGGCTCACACCTGTAATGCCAGCACCTTGGGAGGCCAAGGCAGGGGGATTGCTTGACTCCAGGAGTTTGAGGAATTCTAGATCAGCCTTGGCAACACAGCAAGACCTTGTCACTACAAAAAAAAATAAAAAAAATTAAACTCTCTGGGTGTGGTGGCATGCACTTGTATCCCTAGCTACTCAGGAAACTGAGGTGGAAAGATTGCCTGAACCCAGGAGGTTGAGGCTGCAGTGAGCTGTGATTGTGCCACTGTACTCCAGCCTGGGAGACAAAATGAAACCCGATCTCAAAAAAATATATATATATATTTTTTTTAAAGAAGTAGACACCCCATCCAAGGCCAGGATTCTCTGTACCAGCATCACTAACAGGTGAGTCTCTGGCCTCTGTCCCCACACCGCAGTATCCACACCTACAAAATGGGGTAATAGGAAAAACAACTGCCATTTACTGGGCACTTACTATGTACCAGGCCAAGGGCTCTCTCTCCATGTATTGCCTCATTTAACCCTCACAATAATCTCATCAGGCAGGCTGATGTACTGTCTCTATTTTATAGATGAGAAAACTAAGGCAAAGAGAGAAGTCACTTGCTCAAGGTCACATGGCAAATGAATGCCAATGCTGAGATTCAAATGCAGAACTTGAATTCTGGACTCTGACACTTTACCACTGAGCCATACTAGGCACTTTACAGTCCACAGAGCACTCTCATCATCTGTTGGGATGGCTGAGGGGAGTAATCTACATACCTAGAGTATGACTGGGATGACCACATGTGGTAGGCTGAAGAATGGCCCTCTAAAATGTCCAGGTCCTAATTCCCAGAACTGTGAATATTTTACTTTATATGGAAAATGGGGTTTTGCAGATGTGATTAAATTACAGATCTTGAGATGGGAAGAATCTCCTGGACTATCAAGTACACCCAATGCAATCACAGGGTCATTACATCAGGGAGGCAGGAGAGTCAGAGAAGGAAATGTGGCAATAGAAACAGAGAGAGAAATTGGAAGACACTAAGCTGTGGGATTTGAAGATGAGAGGAGCTGCAAGCCAAGGGATGCAGGTGGCCTCTAGAAACTGGGAAGGCAGGGAAACAGGTTCTCCCCTCCAGCCTCAGGAAGAAACCAGCTCTACTGATATCTTGACTTTCGCCCAGCGAGGCTAATTTTGGACTTCTGACCTCTAAAACTTTAACATAATAAATTGGTGTGGCTTTACACTACAAAATTTGTGGCAATTTGTTACAGCAGCACTAGGAAATGAATATATCACATAACTTCATGTCTGGCTTTCCTGATCAGCCCTGGCTTCACTGCTACTCCAGCTGCTATCAGGAAACACCCTTCTTTTCTTTTCTTTTTTTTTTTTTGAGTTGGGATCTCACTCTGACACCTAGGCTGAAGTGACATGATCATGGCTCACTGAAGCCTCAACCTCCTGGGCTCAAGTGATCCTCCTGCCCCAGCCTCCCAAGTAGCTGGGACTACAGATGTATGCCACCATGTCTGGCTATTTATTTATTTATTTGTTTGTTTGTTTTTTGCAGAGACAGAGTCTTGCGATGTTGCCCAGGCTGGTCTTGAACTCCTGGGCTCAAGCAATCCTCTTGCCTCAGCCTCACAAGGTACTGGGTGTACAGGCATGAGCCACCATGCCTGGCCCACCTTTACATTTTTAAATGGGTCTCTGAAGTTCTAATTTGGTCATCTCTGAACCTCAAGATCTTTCTTTGTTAAAAATAAAATCAGGGCTAATACACCTGACCCTGATTTTCACGCAAGCAGAGGGGACTTTATATTATCTGAAGGTTCCCACAAACCACTGGGGCATTTGAGGTGTAGTTATTATCCCCATTGCTCAGGTGAACAAACTAAGGCTCAGAAAGTAGAAATAGCCTGCCTAGAGTCACACAGATAGTGAGTAACTGAGCCAGGACCTGAACCAGGGCTCCTGACTTTAGTTCCACCACAATGAGGTTATGTCTCAGAGCCCAGCTCACATGCTACCTCCTCAGAGAAGCCTTCCTGGATAACCCCAGGCTAGTCACTTATTTATTCATTCATGAAGCAGTTGCTATGACTGCTCTATTCTCAAATGTTGTGCTAGGTAAGCCTGGGGACCCAGTTCTGTCCTTTGGAGCCCACAGTAGACAAGACAGACACACAAATTATAATCCCAAATAGTCTGATAAATGCTGAAACAAAGGGAAGGAAGCCCAAGGGGTTGTATGAGCTCAAAAAAAGGGAAACTAGGTCAGGTATGGTGGCTCATGCCTGTCCTCCCAGTACTTTGGGAGGCTAAGGTGGGAGGATCCCCTGAGCTCAGGAGTTTGAGACCAGACTGGGCAACACAGCCAGACTTCGAGTCTACAAAAAAAATAAAATTAGCCAGGCGAGGTGATGTGTACCTTGTAGTCCGAGCTACTGAGAAGGCTGAGGGAGAAGGATCGCCTGATCCCAGGAGGTCGAGGCTGTGGTGAGCTGTGATTGTGCCACTGTACTCCAGCCAGAGTGACAGAGTGAGACCCCAACTCAAAAAAAAGGGGGAGGGGGAACTGAGGGGAAACTGACTGAGCCTGGGGTCAGGGAAGTCTTCTTGGAAGAGACGGTCATTGAATTGGGGATGAGTAGTACCCAACTAGAAGCGTGGGCCAGGGATTCTGGGGGAAGAAATGGCTAAGCAAAAGTTGAAAGACCCAATGCTGCAGCTTTCCAAGGGCAAGGAATGGGTTGGATCCAGGCCCCGAAGCCCTCTGGACGTCTAAGTTCCTGCGTTATGCAATGGGAATCATGGGCCTAGCTGCCCAGAACTTTGATAATTACCTGGCCCAAGGGAAGGCTGAGCAGGAAGAGGGGTCCTGCAACTCCCAGAGGAGGCATGTGAAGATCAGGAGAAGTCAAAGGTAAGGGTGTAGGGAAGAGTGGTGGGGAGGCAGGGTCATGGCTCAGGTTCCACCCCACATCTGACTCATACATCTGACTCACGGTGCGACTACAGGAAAGTCCTCTCAGAGCCTCAGTGACCCCATCTGGGAAATGGAGCATGAGACAAAACTGTCTCCAAAGACCCTCCCCAGCCCTGATGGGGAAATGACTTGACACAAAATTACAAAAGGGTCTTTATTTGTAAAAAGCCAAAGGGGCCCCTGGGGCGACAGGACAGGCAGGCCGGCTTCTCAGGGGTTGGGGGCATTTGGGCAGATGCGCTTGAGTGGGGGGGCGCCCTCCGAGTCCTCTGTGTCACCCTGGGCTGCCTCAGGGACAGGTGGCACTGGCTCAAAGACGGGGTAAGCTTCGGGGGCCTGGAGAGGAAGGGCGGACAGGTGTGAGCTCCACCCGAACCCAGGAGTACAGCCTCCCAGCCTCTGCCTTCTCCAAAGCTCCACTCTACTCCCCTCCCGGCCCAGGGCCAGGTGCCCAGGATGTAGGATACGGAGGCACCGAAAACAACAGCAACAACAACAGCAACACTGCTCGGGGGAAAGAGTCTGATATCTGATGTTTCTGGGAAATGCATCAAGGTAGCCCTTGTGAGAAAAGTCAGAAGTTTCTGAGGGACTTTCTTAAGCTAGTGTTATAGTTTAGGATATATTTTAAAAATACATGGAGGAGCACCATGATCTTTTCAGGCTTTTAATGGTCTTAAATCAACTCTGATCCAGCCCTTAAGACTTCGTCTCTGAAACACCCTTTCTTTTTCAGTCCTAATAGCCCAGCCTCTAAGCCTTTAGCTGGGTCCTAGGTCTACACCTTCTACCCAGACCTCAGGATGCAGCCTCCAAGACTGGCTGCCCCAGATGCTCACTTCTCTCTGAGACCTGGGAGTCTCGCCTTCTGGCCTCTCTCACCTCAGCCTCCAGCAGTTCCGGAACAGGCTCCTCCTTGGTCAGCATTGGGGGTTCATCGGTGCCACCTGCAGTTATGCCCCCGGGATCTGGAACGTCAAGGTAACAAACACTCCCTGAACAGCCACTCTGCACCAGTAGCACAGACACGGGGAAACAAACACAAACAAGCACCCATCACATAAGCCAGAGGGCTGTGGGAGCAGGGAGGAAGGAGCCAGGAATATGGGATCTTAATGAGTAAGTAGGCTTTTGGGGGGGATACATGAGGAGGCAGAACATATTTCAAGCATGCTTAAGTGAGCACAGATTCTGGGCTTGGACTGCCTGTGTTCAAATCCTGACCTCAGGCCAGCTACTTAATTTCCCTGGGCCTGTTTACCCATCTGTAAAATGGGGATAGTGATAGAAATTACCACAAGAGATTGTTGTGAGAATTAAATGAGATAATACAAGTAAAGCCTTTAGCACAGTGTCTGGCACATAGTAAGTGCTCAATAAATGCTAGTTACATTTTTATAGTAGCAAAGGTATACAAGTGCTTGGCACGATCTAGACCCAGCCCATAAGCCCAAATTGTGGTGTTCTTGGTGTGAAACAATGAGGTAAGCAGGGAACGGTTCACAAAGGCCCCAAATATCAAGCTGTGGAGTCCAAGGCCATGGGAAGTCAGAAAAACAACCCCATCAGAAAACTTTTTTTTTTGAGTCAGGGTCTTTCTCTGTCTCCCAGGCTGGAGTACAGTGTTGCGATCATGGTTTACTGCAGCCTTGACCTCCTGGGTTCAGGCAATCCTTCCGCCTCAGCCTGCTGTGTAGGGGGCAGTGGTGGGGAGGCAGGCTTGTGCCACCACGCCCGGCTAACATTTTTTATTTCGTAGGGACAAGGTCTTGCTATGGTCCAGGCTAGCCCATCAAAAGAGGTTCTTCTGACAGCTTATGGAGGTGACTAGAGAGGACACCAGTAGGCTGGGCCAGGCTCAGGTGAGAGATGGGAAGGCCAGAATCAGGGTAAGGCCTGGGGAGGGAGAAGAAAGTAGATACATTTGGGAGGTAGTGCTGACTAGACAGGGTTTGACTGTATGGAAGAAAGAAGAGCTGAGGCGAACTCAAGGCCCACAGTGCTGGCTGACTGGCTGAGTTACTTAACTTCTCTGAGTCTCAGTTTCCTCATCTATAAATAAGGATCGTTATGAAATCATCACCCTCATAAGGTTCTAGTGAGAATCACATGAGAAAAAACATGTAGCATACTTAGGAGGTTGCCTGGCACATGCAAGAACTCAATAAATATTAGCTATTATTACTCCTATTATTAATCACTCCATGATTATCACTATTATTATTATTATAATAATAATTTTTTTTTTTTGAATTGGAGTCTCACTTTGTCGCCCAGACTGGAGTGTAGTGGCACGCTCCCGGCCACCACAGCCTCGACCTGCTGGGTTCCAGCGATCCTTCCGCCTCAGCCTTCCAAGTAGCTGGAACTACAGGTGTGCGCTACCATGCCCGGCTAATTGTTTTTTTTTTTAAATGTATTGTAGAGATGAGGTCTCGCCAGGTTGCCCGGGCGGGTCTCGAACCCGCAGGCTCAGGCAATCCACTCACCTCAGCCTCCCAAAGCGCACGGGATTACAGGCTGAGCCACCGAGCCCCGCTGATTATTACTATTATTTATTTACTTGATAAATAGTTATTGAGCACCTATTATGTGTTCCACGGTATTCCGAGGCTATGTGAACAAGATCAATATGGGGCCAACATTCAGGCAACTGCCATCAGATGGGAGTGGGAAGAAAGGCAATAAACTTGTGATAAATTCAGTTTACATGAAAATCTCAGACCGTGATATGTTATCTGCAGATCCTAAAAAGCCAGAGCCAGAGAAATGAGACAGACAGCAGCTACAGGTCGTTCCCGCAGGAGTCAGGGCAGGCCCTCCGAGGAGGCAGCACACGATGGGGTGCAGGAATAGGGATAAGCTGGTGGGTTCAGCTTTGGAGAGGGAAGGACTCAGAGAAGAGGGCTCCTGGGAGGCACCTGGTCCTACCTCTCTCTTGGCCCAGCCGTGGGGGCTGAGCCTCCTCAGGGACCCCTTCTGGGGGTCCAGCAGGTGACACAGGACGGCTGGGCTGGGGGGTGCCCCCAGGGCTGGGCTCCGTGCCCTTTTGTAGAGAGCCTTCCGAATGGAAACTCTGGTTGCTGTTCTCATCTGTGAGAGCAAAAGCCAAGAGGGTTGGCCTGAGGTCCCCAGTACCCTCCTTCAAGCCCCACAGCTCCCCCCAAATTCCACCATCCCTACATACCATTGAGATCCAGCAGGATGAGAGGGCCACCCCCTCGGGGACTGGCACCCCGGCCCCGACGCTCCCGACCACGGGATCTCTCTGCCCCGCCACCTGCCCGCCTTCGCTCCTGGGAGTTAGAGGGATAAGCGTCAGAGCCAGCTTTCTGGTTAGCTCTTGCAAAGTCCCCACTGTACAAACAAGAAAACCGAGCCACAGAGAAGCAAAAGGCCCTGCCTGAAGTGACAGAGATTGTGCATACTTGAACTCAGAGGGTCTGCAGCAGGAAAAGGGAAAAGGGGAGGAGTTGCTAATAATCGTTAACATCTGTCTGGACTGCTGCATTTGCGGTCTCAGAGTGGGGGCTGGAGGATGAGGCCAGGGTGGGGAGGGGCTTGCCTGAGGTTGTACAGGGTCTTGGGAAGGGGGGACTTGCTCACCTCCTCCTGGGGGTCCACCACTGGCACCCACTTGAAGATACGAAGGGAAGTGTCGCCCACCGTCACCCATCGCTTCTCCCTGTGGGGGCGGGGTGCTGGGTCAGAGAGGCCTGAGGGGAGAACCCCCCAAGGAGCTGGACACATCTGGGGGTACCTGCAGAGGTGGGGGTGGTGCACCGGGGTAGGACAGTTTTGCTAAGGGGGAATAACTCAGTGGATAGAGAGTGCCCTGCAAACCCCAGAGCATCGATGGGGATGCCTCCAGACAGGAGGTATGACTCGGGGCCGTGGCTCTGCAGACCCCTGGGGCACACATGGGGGGGCGTGGCTATGGGCCTGGCTGGGGATCACAGCCACGAAGATCCCGAGGCACACTTGCAGGAGGAGTGTCAAAGCTTTAGGGGGCGGGGCACAAACGGGGGCTCCCGCTCCGGGAGGGCACGGTTGAGGACCACGCTTTGTAGACCCCCGGGAGTAGCCAGGGGAAGGGGGACGGAGCTCTGTCGATCCAGGGCACAGCTGGTGGGCGGAGGTGCCCCTAACACCTGGGGCCCGCAGCTGGCGGGGGAGGGCAGACGCCTTCGGTGGAGGTGGTCCCGCCATGCCCCGTCCCTGGCCCCGGGCAGCGCTCACCATCTCCGGACCTTCTCGATGGTCGCCATCACCTTCTTGATGTCATCCTTGGCCCGGCTCCGGGTCTCGGCCCGCACGGTCCGGCCGGCCATGCTGGCGGGGCT